CCGGGCAGCACCCCCCTGCCGCCCACACAGCTCCAGCCCTGCCAGAGGCCGACTGAGGCTCAGAGATGGAAGACGGAGTAAGTACATGATCTAGTGCAGGGGTGGGCAAATACTGGCCCGGAGACCGGATCTGGTCTGCCAGGGACAGCCCCGCACCACCGTCTGAGTCAACAGCACGACACGGTTGCAAAAAAAAGCAAATATGATTCTGGGCGGCATGAACAGGAGTGTGGTGAGCAAGACACGAGAAGTCGTTCTTCCGCTCTGTGCTCATTGGGCCTCAGCTGGAGTTCTGTGTCCAGTTCTGGGCACCACATTTCAAGAAAGAGGTGGAGAAATTGGAGAGGGCCCAGTGAAGAGCAACAAAAATGATTCAAGGTTTAGAAAACATGAGCTATGAAAGGAAGACTGAAGGAATTGGGCTTGTTTATTTTGGGAAAGAGAAGACTGAGAAGGGACATGATAGTGGTTTTCAGGTATCTAAAAGGGTGTCACAGGAAGGAGGGGGGGATGTTCTCCTTGGCCTCTGAGGATAGAACAAGAAGCAATGGGCTTAAATTGTAGCAAGGGAGGTTTAGGTTGGACATTAGGAAAAACTTCCTGCCTGTCATGGTGGTTAAACACTGGAATAAATTGCCTAGGGGGGTTGTGGAATCCCCATCTCTGGAGATATTTAAGAGCAGGTTGGACAGACACCTGTCAGGGATGGTCTGGGTGCTTGGTCCTGCCATGAGGGCGGGGGACTGGACTTGATCTCTCGAGGTCCCTTGCAGTCCTAGTATTCTAGGATTCTATGATATTTACCTGCTCCTCCACAGGTACGGGGAATCCCAGCTCCCATTGACCGTGGATCGCCGTTCCCTGCCAATGGGAGCTGCGGTCGCCCGTACCTGCAGAGGGGCAGGTAAATGCAGCAGCAGTGACCTTCTAGGGGCTAACCGCCACCATCTTACTGCCCGCCCCGGTCTAGTGGGACGGTTCCTTTGGGTGTTCTTGTAGATCAGTGTTTCCCGACTGGTGCTCCGTAGAACCCTGGGGTTCCGCAAAGAGCCGGCACTCCCCCGCCCCGCCCCCTCTTAACGAGACAGAGCCGTGGCGGGAATCATGGCAGTGGGGTTTTTGTTGTTGTTGTCACTTGACAAAACATGGCAGGGTCTTTTTTTTTTTTTTTTAAGACAACCTTAGGGGTTCCGCGGCCAAACAAAATTGGGAAACACTGTTGTATATTCTCCAGGTTAATTTTTCAGTGAGGCTGTCCCGCCTTCCCATCGCTCGGTCCCACAGAGCCCAGTCGAGGGCCACGTTGAGAAAGCGCCTCTGCACTGCAGCTGGTTTCTGTCTCTGATGGCGCCCTCGAGGCCCCGACTCAGCAAAGCTCTGCGTGTGAGCCGGCAGAGGGACCGACTCACCGTTACGTTCACGAGTCAGGGCTGACGAGGTCACAAAACGAGGAGGGGGGTGGCATCGGGTTCCCAGCCCACGGTACACTTGCCAAGCAATCGGCTCGGGGTTATGACTCAATGCTTTTTGTAACCCCCGCCAGCCCTGCTGGCGCGTTGACCATGGAAACGAAACTGGACAGACACCTGGGGGGTCGGCTGCAAGCATCCACCGGGGCGCTGAACCCAGGGTCACCCGCAAGTTCTTGCTAGGGATTCTGGTCCGTGAGCAGGACTGTAATGACAGCTACCTCTAGGGGGCACTCCAAGCACCATGGGAATTATTAGCATCTGCTAGGGGCTGGGCACCAGGAGGTGGTGGGGTGCAGGCTTTTCGGGAAGCCAAGCATGTAGTGGATACAACGTGGGAGCCAGTCCCATGAGCTTTCCTCCAGCCAGGAACCGGACCAGCAGGAGGGGACCAGATCTTGGGCTATTTCAGCCCCCTAAGTGGCTCGCTGAGGCATTAAAAAAAATCAGCTACCAATAGATGAGCGGGTGGGCCCCACCTCCCATCCCCAGGGTAAGGGTCCTCACCATGAAGGGGAGCTCATGCTGCGTTGGTAGAGTTGGTGGTAGTGGTGGGGCCACAGGCGGCGGGAGCACGGGGGGCGACCTCCTGCCAGCCCAGCGTGCCTGCATCCTCTCCGTGTCACGTCTCAGCCTCCCGATCTCAGCGTGCAGCTGCGCGGTCTCCAGGGCGTGCTCCCGCTGCTGCTCCTCCAGCTCTTTGTCCAGAGGGCCTGAGGGAAGGCAGCCAGGAAGCAGGGGGGAAGCGTGTTGCCAAGCGGCTCCCCACTCTGAACACAGGGGGACACGTGCAACGAGGCAGGGATCCCGCTCGTGCGGCCACGTGTGAGAAATTCAACCGCCGCTCAGCTGATCAGAGAACCCACAGCAAGGTTTTGTGTTTCCATTGGTGGTGCACATCTGCGCATGCCTTGGTGCACACAAAATTTATTCTGCACATGCATAGAAAAATATTAGAGGGACCATTGACTGCCACCCAGGAGGACGCACACCGAGCTGGGCACAAGGGGCAGAGCTACCAGCTTAGGAGAGCAACCGAAGACTCATCGGTTGATAGCCACCTCCACCGAGTCGGCAGCAATTCTCCAGCCGGCCTTTCATGTCCTCGGACCACAGGGACGGGGGCGACAGGGAAAGGGTCACACTCACGCAGGCACAGGGACTCCCACCCCCGCTGGGCACCGACCCTGCTCCAGATCCTGAAACCTCCATTCACGGTCACAGCCGTGAGCTGCCCATAAGCTGGTGCACCGCCATGGCCTGAGGGGTGAGGGCAGGAGGCAGGGCCTGGCTGGACGGATCGGTGCACAGCTCCTGGTGCAACTGGTATCACTTCCCCAGTCACCTGGGCCTTCAGCTCCCGTGACAGGGCGGCTGTTCTCGGACGAGCTCTTGGCTGTTTCACGAGACAGCGAACTAGCAAATGCGTGAGCAACACGAGAGCTGTGGGCAATATTTGCCACTGCTGGTTTAATGACCCCCCCCATGGGTCATGGGCAGGGTTTCCCGTACGCGGTGCGCTTCTGCGGCCACTCAGGAGAGAGTCCAATGTAGCCCAGCTGACTGGCAGAGCGCCCCCAGCTCGGTTGTGTTTTTGTTAGTGGTGCACATTCGCACACGCCTTGGTGCACGTACAAAAATTATTCTGCACATGGCTGGAAGCGATTAGAGGGAACATTGGTTCTGGGCAAGGACTGGCCCTGGGACCGTCAGCACAAGCCTCCATCACAAGAGAGGAGGGCGTGACACCAATAACCGGCCGCTGTCATAGGTTCTCCTCTCCGTGGTGCACTAACAGCAGCAAAGCACCAACCTGGGCACCACACAAGGAGCGTAGCATCATCTGGGGGATGAATCCTGGGGCCCTGGCGGGGGTTGGGGTCATTTTCAGAAGCAATGGCCGAGGCTCTTTACACATCTACCCGCAGCCAGCGAGCACGGGAGACAGGCCACACTGTGCCAAGCGTTGGCAGGTGCCCGAAGGGTGCCAAGGGCTGGCTAACAGCCTGGGGGCAAGGGCAGCACATTTCCAGGACGCTCTGGGATCGGTCCCGGCATGGACACGGAGCCCACCTCTGGCCCACGGTGCAGACAAGGATGATGGGGGGCGAGTGCTGCGTCCTCGCAAAGGTACCCACGCCCCACGGCACCGCACCACAGCTAGCCCCGCTCGTGCTGTGCGAGACCCCTCCGCGCCGCTTGCTGGGGAGAGGGCTGGACACGCCCCACCTACCGTCGTACGCCCGCCTCCGATCCCGCTGCATCTTCAGCACCAAGAGCTCGTCCGCCAGCCGCTGGTTCTCCAGCTCCACGACCAGCAGCTCCGCATCCAGGCCCCGGGGAGCCGCGCCGGCCGACTGGTGCCCTGCAGGCACAGCAAGAGGGAAGGGCTGTGCCGGGGGCAGGGAGGCAACGTTGGGGCAGATCGGAACCCAGACCCGAGTCCTGGCTTCCTGGTGCATGCTGGGTAGGACGCGGCGGCTCTGCGGTAGCTGCCTGGCCACTGCTCAGGGGCGTAGCGATGGCAACGCTGTGCCTGTCCCCAGGCTCCCACACACCAGGAACAACCCCCCACCCCTGCCCCAACGGGTCCCGGTGGGAGGAACTTACTTTTCTTCCGCTCCTGCCACCCGGCCGCCCCCCCCCGCGCCGAAGCCCACCACCTCCCGGTGGGAGGACCTTGCTTTTCTTCCGCTCCTGCCGCCCGGCCGCCCCCTCCAGCGCCAAGGCCTCCACCTGCAGGTCGTACAGCTGGGCCAGAATAGCGGGGTCCCTGCCTCCGCTCTGCACGTAGGCCAGGTGCAGGGCTCTGAGGGGAAGCAGCCGCGTCAGGCTCCAGGCAGCGTGTCTGAGGGAGCCTCTCCCAGCCGGGGACGCCAAGGGGGACGCACGCTCCGCCCCGGCCTGCCCCTCCGAAGGTGCCGTGTACCCCGGCCCGGCCCTGACCTGCAAAGGCGTCTGGGAAGCAGCGTTCGGACACAAACAGAACCTCCCCCCACGCCGGGCGGGCGGGCAGACATCCCCACAGGAGGCAGGCAGGCAGACAGACGCCTCCAGAGGCAGACAGACAGACAGACGCATCCCCACCGCGGACATACAAACAGGCAGACACACAGAGAGAGCAGGCCCGGGTCCCCCTGGGCCAAGACACAACAGAAGCAGACACCCCCCCCCCCCCCCCCCACAACAAAACAAAGGGGGGGGG